GGGATGTGTTGCACATGTGTTTTTAAAAACAGCAGTCTATGCTGTCTGCTTGTGCTTCATTTGAAGCTGTGGCTATTGTGCAGTTGTCTGTAGTGAGCTTGTTTCATGTTTACTGCTTTTTTGAGCACAATAAGCATTTTCCAGCTCTTTTTGAATAAAAAATTAAATGTTTATTTTAATTTGTTCAACGTTTCACATTAGTTTTGCACTGTTTGGCTGCTATGTAGCCCAGTTTTTGAAGCAATGTGTGTTGATGTGCCCCTTCATTTTCTCATAAACCCAGACAGCCTATTCAGAAACTGTTTTTACATGTTTCCTTGTCTGTAAGACAAGTGATGTCCATGCCAAGATGTTAGTAGCATTAGTGTTAGAAAAGTACTACATTTTTTAAAATGCTTTGGGAACCTTCAACAATTTTGGAAGAACCTATAAACGTTTTTAATTGCTAGTTATTGTTTAAAGCATTCATTGTTAGTTTTATAGCTGTGTCAAATTCCTTTGCTTGGGGCAGCCCTCTGTAACAGTATCTTGTGAAAACACCCTGACATACACGCCACCATTCAGCAATTTCAGGAATGGATCAAATATCTGCTTGGCAAAAATCTCTTTTGGCCTTTGATTATAATACAAATGGGAAAAATTAACTGTAACAATCCTCCACTTGCTACATGCAGTTACCTCACATTAGCGAATTTACTATCGCTTATTTAAAGAATGACAAGTTCTTGACGAGTTCAGTATTTTCCAATAGTGAAACTGTTTATGATTCGTGAATAGAAGTTTCATATTTATTGTTGCACCATTCTTGCAAAGTATTTTTTTATAGATGACAGGAGCAATATCCTAAACAGATTATCTCCATTTATGCTGGACAGCATTACCTTTTAAACATGAAGCAGCAGTAAGTTTAAAAATGATACCGGCAGAGGGTGTCATTCTTAAAACAAAAATGAATGGTGTGAGAATTGGTGTGGTGTGCACCTTCCATTTCACAGACAGACTTTGAGTGCAGTGTGCACCACTGGTTTTCTCCAGCACCTAATCCCTAACTCTTCACTCTACACTTGAAGTAATTTTAGAAGTAGTTTTATTTTTGGAGTGTTTAGTAAGTAGAAACAGCTTCTGTCAGAAGTGGCCGTGTATGCCACCCATTCAAGAGCAATTTGAACCATTTCATGTTTCTGAGCTGCAAGGTTGTAACAGCCCACTGTGGCTGTTGAATGCCACCATTTTTATTTTGCACATGGACAGATGTTGAAATGTGTTGGTGTACGCTGAAAATATGTCAGTCTTAAGTGTTGCATTAGAATCTCATTGGGAATATAATGTTACTCCCATTTTAAACAGTGAGCAGGCAAGTTCACTGATTGCTGCAGTGGTGTTGTTCCTTTGAATGACAACATACTGAGCTCAGAAATGTGGGATGCTCAGTTCTTTATGAGTTCAAATGTGTTGATTACGAATTGGTGTAACTGCCATTTAAACAGAATTTTAATTAACGCAAGAAACATGTTGCCCTACAAAACCACTAGGTTGGTGTTACTGGTGATTCAAGGCAGCAGCTGATTTGTGGGGGAAGTTGCTTGAAGGAGGAGGTTTAGTTTTAACAATCGGCAGATTAATGCAGAGGAGCCAAGAAGCTAGCAGTGTGAAGCACAGGCCATGTCCTGCCAGACAGAGGGTCACCATGCTGGCCCAGAACTGTCAGATCTGTTTGACCTGTGTCATCATTTTCAGCCAGCTACAGTGCAACAGACAGTGAAATTTGTATGCGTGGCGCCTGCTCAGGGCCAGTGCTGAATGCTGAGTGATGAAATCACTGTCATCTGAAATGGCAGCATGGTGGGTGGAGGAGAATTGTATTTATTGGTGAATGTCCCTTTCCTTGACTAACCTGAGGAAGACGCTGTGTGTAGTTATTTCTGGGACAATTGCATTGCATTGCTCACGCTAACTTTTGAGGTGCTGGGAGTGTGTTGGCAGGGAGAAGAATCTCTTTTTAACGTAAGCATGCCTTTGGCACCGGCTGAAGGCAACGTTGCTCCTTAGCAATACATTGAAGTTCTTGATCCCAACACCTTTTCTGTTCCTGGAAGCCAGTCAGGAAGTGCTACTCTTCCAGTAGGACAATGCAAGACCACACAATGCTGGGGTTACAATGGCGTGACTTGGTTAATAATATTGAGGCCTTGCTATGGCCAGCGTTGTCTCCTGATCTTAGTCCACTAAAACATCTGTGGACACCAACTTGCCAATTTCATTGTGGGGAAACTTGCAGTTTCATAGGACAAGCTGCAGCAGTCTGTCAGGTACTTGATTATGTCTGTGTATCACTGTTGCCAGGATTGTGATAGTTTCTCACCTTACAAGCTGAAGGACTATTATTATCCTTTCAGCATTCTGAACTTCTTGTAACTTTGTTTTGTAAGGGAATTAAGAAGTATAAAAGACTTGATTAGATTCATTCCACATGAGTGTGCCTCAGCTGGCTGTGCCCATCCTGATGTGTTCGACATGTAGGCTCATGATGAGATTCTGCAACAAGAAGCAAGAAAATATAATCACTGCATATTTCAGATGAGTTTATATTCAATCATGGATTGAATATTGTCAGTGAAAAATTCACTTGCTTGGGCTTGATGTCGGCCTACACATTTTATGCATAAAACCATCTTCCAGCCACAGAACAGTAGTCCTTGCAAGTGGTGTCTGTACCTGAACCATGGAAATGGCAATAAAATGGAGCCATAAAACCTGCCCCCTCAGGCTCACTTGGCTGGCACCATTTGAGAGAGAGCTATGAAGTTACTTGAAAGAAGTCCCCTTTCCCAATTTCTTCATCTCTTGCTTCTATAGGTATTAGACAATTTTGAAAATCAAAGCAAAAGCTTTTTTTCTGCTGTGTAACCTGCTCACCCCATGTCTGCTGTGTATCCTGAAGAGAAATGTTGATTTTTTTTTTTTAGACGGTTGAAAGTGACCCTAACTATTAGGATCTAGTCAGGCAGATAATGATCAACCCAGGCTCTGTGCAGAGCCAAACATGGTGATTCTATTCTGGAGAAAGGATAATGTTTGCCTACAACTTCGGCCTTAACACCTTAATTGATCTACAGTTGGAAATGGGTTGTGTCTACAGCTGCTTGTAGAAACAAAGTGATTAACTTACACATTGGCAACTGCTGCTGTTGTAGATTTCATTAGTGTTGCATTTCCAAAGGACAGTGCACAGTGAGGAATGATGAGGCACACCGTACCACTCGGCTACATGGATAAAACGCATGGCGAGCCCATCCAGTATTCCTTTCTACAATATTTTAGGAAACAAGTGGACCTGATGGGGGGGGTGGGATTGAAATCATTAATGAGGTCCTTCTGATCAAATGCCTGGGAGCTCCTTCCAGATGGAAGTTTATGACCGTATGTATGGGTTTAGCAAATGAGATCAGAAAGCCTCTGTCCTTTATGAGCTTTTATGAGTCTGCTGTGGTGGGCTCTCTGTGCTCAGTAATGAGTCAAGGTGTGCCAGGATGCTCTGAGCTGTGCGCTGCTGGGGTTTTGACAGAGGAAATTGTGGGTTTTTCCCCTCCAGATGATACTGGCACAAAAAAATGGCAAATAGGCATTCGGACAATTGCTGGCTTTCAGAAGCACCCTGTGTGACTTAGGTCTTTGGCTTCTGGAAATATTCTTGGTTAGGTTCTTAAACACACAGGGCCTCTTTTGATGGCTGTTTGAAGTGGAGAGGTCAGAAAAGTGAGGACACTTCAGAATGGGACTCCTCAAGTTTGGTCCTTGATGCTTACAGTCCAGTAGGTGTTGTTTGTCTCCTTACAAACAATATCTTGGGAACAATGATAAATTAGCTCCCATAAGGCTTAAATGGACTGAATTGACCCTGCTGTAGAAATGTAAAGTTGCTGATGATGTAAGGAGATGTGTGACATGTACTGGACCGGCCCACAAGGCCCTGGTGATCCCTGCTCTACAGCACAGTTTCTCAGCCGCTTGCTCTGTGATACAGCTTTGCGTCCTCAGGCATTAACAGGTGGAAATTTGTAGAAGTCACTAATGAGAAATCAAAACTGAATGATTTATATACACGTGAGACAGAGGCCACGCTTCTACGACTGCTCAAGTGGAAATTGCCTGTGCCGTGGAATTGAGTTTTTCGCATTTGACGGATATGAAACAAAACACAAAAACTACTGCCGTTGAGCAAGAGCTTCTTGTTTCACTGTCATCATGTTCTGTCAGGATGAGGTGATTATGCACTAAGACCTTTCAGACTGAAATGTTTAGTTTATTATATTGTAATGGAGTGCGTAGGCCAGTGACGTCTGTGTGCCATCACACGTTTCTGTAAATATGCTTCAATAGGCAAACTGTGTAGAAAGGCTGATCTAGAGCAGTTACAACTGGTAAAGTCACTTGTACTCCTTGCATCTTTCTATTTGTGATTCTTTTTGGGATATTTAGTGTGTGAGGGGGGAACAGTAGAAGGACAATAAATCAAAGTTGCTCTGCTTTTCCCCCTGAAAAAACAGCTGGAAATATGATTTTTCGTTATGTTTGCAATTCTGCATTGACTTCCACGCAGCAGTCTGGCAATGATTTTATTGTTTGAAAAACATTTGTCTTCTGATAGCTTTTTGCCTGTCCATAAAGCTGTAGTTAGAGCATGGAAATATGTCCTCCTTGATGCAGCAGTCTGAACCCCTTCATGGCTTTATAAGATGTATGCTCTTGAATGTAATATTGGGTGCAGGATTTTGTGCTGCTTTGATTTTGAGTACAGTGTTAAACTTTGTGTAGCAGCTCCTAAAATGCAAAATGGCTCAAGACTGTGCTGCAGAAATTAAGTCTTTGGTCCACCTGTGAGCTACCGTCTTCAATGTGTTTCCATTTTTCATTGAAAGCTAGCGCCCATGATGCACAGTGCTCAAACTTGAGTGGGTTTTAGATGAAGGTCCTGAACTTTTTTTGTCTCTGTCTGCCAGGCTGGCGATCTCACGTTGGCAGAGTGGACGGCCCAGCGCTGATGACCCGTGGTTGCCATGCTGTGCGCTCCTGACCAGTCGTAGAGGTCTCAGGAGGATGTTGCCCTGGACCCTGGTGTTTCTGTGGGCTGTACTTGCCCAGGTCTCTTTCTCTGAGGGCCGCACCACCATCACTGACCAAGGTAATACATCCATCTGCTTAGTCACGCCAGTTCAAGGGTCTTCATGCATAAGGCTGCCAGCTTTCAGCGTTTATTCTTTCCAAAATTCGACCGTACTCATCTCTTGTGCCCACAAAGCAAACCAGTTCACTGTCAAGCTGCCATCTTGGGAAAACCGCAGTGAGATTTGTGTTGCTATAAAATAAGCTTACCATACTGAGCAACCGAAATTTAATTAAGAAATAGAGACGGTTCAAGAGTTTTCACTGCATCTTTAAAGACTGATGTGGAGGAGAGGAGTAAACTGTGAATGCTGGCTGTCTTTGTCGCCGGGGGGGAGTGAGGCTGGAGATATTGGAGTGTACTGTGCAGGCTTTGTGCCTCAGTCTAACTTGAATTATTAATTAATTAAGAATTGTTTTGCTCAGAAATTGGCAAACTTTAGAAATCCGTTTTGCTGTCTATTTTTGGGCTTTTCTCAGTGTAAGGATTGTGTCTGGGCAGAGTGATGTGATTCAATCTAAAGGAAAGCTCCTTGCTTACTCTCCACCTCGCTGAGGGAACACACTAGAGCCAAGACTACGAATCACTCGTGCATCTCTGGCCTCACTCCTCAGTATCGCTCCCCCTGCTCTTCTTGGTGTAAAACCTATCCTTTACTAATCCACTTCTTTGCTGGAAGGGGTGTAAAGTGGTGAAATTTTATAATATGAAGGAGGTTTTTTGCAAATTGAACACTTTGAACTCAGTAACAAAAGGTGGTGGGTGTTTGGCTCAAAGCCATTTAGCAGGATACAGACACAGATGTAATTTTAGTTCCAGACAAGTTATAGTGAACCTAACAAAACATCTTTAGCTTTAAATACAGTAAAACTACATTTTCAAAGTTATTTTGAAACGGATTTGAAAGTGGGTTAATGTCCAGACAATATTTTTGCATGCAACTGTAGCTTCAGTGAGCATCCTCTCCCTTCTATCGTGTATGAGAAGGGTGTGAAATAGTGGCACTTGTTCAAATTTGGGTTTTAACATTCACTTGTACTTTGCATTTGTTCAGGTTTTTCCTCCCCCAAAGGTGTTGTGCATATGAAAAGGGCCATGTTTCATCTACCACTGAAGTGCAGCCCCCACATGGGTGATGTGTAGCAGCCATTATGTACCAGCATCCCCCTGCACAGCAGATCAGGGGATGAAATGGGCAGTGGCTTTATTGGTTGACATGAAACGCTGAGGCAGGCTAGGTTGTGCAGGCCCAGACTGGAAATAGGCCAGTAATTCAGTGCAGGTGAGCTCTGGTTGTTGGAATATAGGCTCATCAAAAACAAACTCCGATCTACAGAAGTCCTGCATATGTTGAAGGCCACCTCAGTGCAGGTTTTGGTCATGCGGTTGACAAACAGAACAGCTCTGAAGCGTTTTAAATGGGTTGTGTTGGCCAGGTTGCCTTTCTTAAGTACAAAAGGGCATTCAAACATGATCTAACTAATCCTTTAATATGAGCCTTGTGATGCTCTAAGCAGAGGTAACATTCAAATGGATCCATACATAAGAAATTCCCTCCCTATTTCCATTAATGCTTGCTACTGTATCCTTTAGATGGCCTTTTTTCACTTTCACAGTGTGTTGGAGTCTGTTCTCGAGGTACTATGCAGAAGACTGTATAAAAGTAAGGTCTGCACTAATTCTGTAAACATAATCTGCTCATAACATAACCAGAGCAGCCCCATCCCACAGCCCCCATATGTATGCACATTCTCCACTGTACCTCTCTTCCCTGTAATGAGAGTTTAATAAGCTTGTGCTGGAACTCATTAAGGCTCTTGCACTGATACTCCAGTGCGCATGAAAAAAAGACCTAGGCTCACATTCTCATAATGTTCAGATTATCGTGGTGGAATCTGATGCAGTTAAGACCCTCTCACCCCTTGCAAATCCCCTTCCCCAAAAACCCACTTGTACTGTGAAGCTCATTTGAAAAGGAAGATGTGTGAACACTTGACTGACTGCCATCTGCCTGAGTCTTTCCAACTTGATACTGTCAACAGATCAGGTTGGATTCCATTTAAACTGTCAGAGGAATTTAAATTTAGTTTTTCATTTAAAATCGGCGGTTTCCTCGTACGTTTAAGGGTTCTGTTTCTTCCTTATTGTGTTTGAGCTGTTTTTTGTATTGTGTGTGCATTATATCCATTTTAATGGCAATACACTGGAGGTTTAGTGTTTCATTAATTTAATACTTAGAAAGAACTTAGTTTAACTTTGTGCCTGGCCAGACTGCAAGTTTCTCTTGGAACTGTGGTATGTGAGCAGTGTTTTGCATTCTTAGCTTACAAAATGTCAAATCTCTATTTTCTGAAAAAAAAAACAACCCACAATTGTTAAGGTAATGATTCCCATTTTCTTATCACTCTTGAACTGAGAAGCTGTCTTTCTTCACTGAGAACATTCCCACACCTTAGCCATTCCACACAAAGGAGCTTCTATCTCACACGGGAAGACAATGGTTTAAGACTAGTGAGGACCATTGTTAAATGATGAGAGAATCAGTGTGGATTGTTCTAGCTGTTGGGTTTTTATTTGATTTTGTGAGGTTAAAAGCAAGATGTGTGCAGTCAGTTTCTGGGATTCAGAAGTCACTTTTGCTTTGTCAGAGATCTGTCCTCCACATCTTATAGTACCATTAATACTGTTATAGGGTACTGTTATACTGAAGAGGGACAGTATGAAAGTTATATTCTGGGTTTTACAATGCTGTTCAAATAATTAATTTGAGCTATAAAACAAAACAAAAAAAAACAGAGAATGAAGTGACCATGTTTTGAATAAAATCTACTGGATGAACAAAATGTATATTAGTAACAAATATGTAATCTGTTTTTAAAGGGTGTTTTCAGTCCTTTTCACACCCAAAATATTTTTATTTAGAAACAACTCTCCTGACAATGCAGGCAAATGTATTTATGAAATTCTAGGTTTAGTGAAAGTTATAGAGTTTTTCTTTTTTTAATTAAGAATTTTTTTTCTCTTAATACAATCCAATTATTGTGCACATTAAATTAACTTTTTACTGTTTAAAGGGATCACTTAGAAGAGTGGAACAGCAGTCCTTTTCTCTTAAAAGAGAAACTCAAATAAAATTGAAACCGAATACCCAAAAATGTACCCATTGGGTGTGCCAAATGTTTATCTCTAGCCACCTCGGCCTACTGCCTACTGTGAGCCTGTAGGAGCATCAGTTTAAAATGTTTACACTCTTGAATCGGAAGTGCAGTGTGAGAGCATCGTAAAGCACAGCATTATAATTAAGCTAATTACCACAGAGGGGTCTCCCTTATCAATAAGGCCTATAAATAAACTAGGCAGAGCTTTGTTTATCTGAGGAGCAGGGGGGGAGATGGACAAAATGGATTCCATCTGCAGCCCCAGGCAGCCTGAATACCCAGCAGCCCCTGCTCCTGCCTACATTTCTTTGTAATGAAAAGGTATTTGGTGTCACTAGGGAAGAGTTAACGGCTGGGGAAGCTATAAATTAGGTGCTTTGAAAAACTGCTAGAACTCCACCCTCGGGCTACGTTACACTTTGGAGATCGGGTTTCTGGGAACGGCTTTGGGTTTTTTTTACAGAAAAAGAGGTGGGTGAGGGTTGATTTTATATTTTCCCTGCCCTCCTCATCCACCAAATGGTTATTTACAGTATGGGATCTCCCCCACACGAGCTCCGGTCGTAAATTGTCAGAACATCAATTTTTCTGTTGTCTTTCCATTAGAGTGACTGCTAGTTTATATTGTTTGGTGAGGCAGGTCCAAGCTAGAATATAGACTCATTGGGCACAACAGAATGGAAAAGAAATGGCTACCATTTTTTCTGGCAACATTGAGGAAAACCTGAGTTTTTCCTTATGGATGAAACAATTCTTTTGTTTAATTCCTTTGCAAACAAAAATAGTCACTGCTTTAAACTCTTTACACCTTCTTCAGAGCCTGAACATGCTCATTAAAATTAATTGTAATAAACATGAATTTATTATGTTAAAAGTAGCACTATGGGACTAAAATGGGACCATTGGTGGTGGTGGAGGGGAGTCCCCATTACCTGTAAAGCGCTTTGGGTGGAGTGTCCAGAAAAGCGCTATATAAGTGTAAGCAATTATTATTATTATTATTATTATTAAAGAGATCCTCGATTGGCTTTCTGGATAGCCACTGTAGAACTACAAGTAGAACTGAGATGCCTCATTTGTAAAGTATTGTGATGTGTATGATGAATATCCCCTTGAAATCCCCTTGATCCCATTTCTGTTTGACATGGTTGTAAATGAGTAAGTGTGTGCAGAGGAATTAGAAACTTCGGTGCCTGGTATGCTTAGTCATAGTATCCAACCAATTTTTCATGATATCGTAGGTCAGGACTGTATGTTTTGATGACAGTCCCATGGAGCAAATGTTTTTCTCAACATAGGTCTTAATTTTGCTTATTGGGCTATTACTGCATACTGTATTTTAAAACCTATAACCTGTAGAGAGAGGGGTCTTTTAGTTTGAAGTCTCCACACTGGTCTCTCCAAGTGAATGAGCTGCAGTCAGGCAGACTGGCCTCTCGACGGCATTGGGGAAAGAGGTTAAGGACAGGAGGGTAGGCGGCACTTTGGGGAAAATGTCTTCCCAGTAGCTTCCTTTGACTCAAGTGTGCACTTCCTGTCTGTAGCCCTAGGGTGCTGCCACTCAACACAGATGCGTCTGTGGCCACGGGGGAAAAAACAGAGCTGTCAGGTCAGGGGAAGAGGGGCTGAAAGAAAGAGGCAGTGAGACAGGTTGGGAGGCTGAGGGGGTGAGAGGAGAGCAGGTCACAGCTGGGATTTACTGTGCTGGGTCAGTCCTGGAGTCATCCTTCAGGCTTTCTGCTACCTTCTCATGAAATGGCACCTCCATCAGGAATGTAGGTGATGGCGGCACTATACTATGAAATGGCGCCATCCTTCAGATGAGATGCAGGTCCAAGGTCCTGTCTCTCTGTGCTCATT